GATATAGATCCACCGATAGTATCAAACAATGCAGCCCATCCCAGACCCACACAAAATCCATCTTCGAACTCCGCTCCCCGTAATGATCAAGCTCTACAACACGAGTTATGGGATGTGCTTGAAGAGAATTATCCTGATATAAAATTGCAAGAACTGAGTGCGGAACGTATACGTGATTTGCTTGAACCCTTGCGTGACCAACTAGTTGCACGAGGCATCTTTCAAATTCCGACTGCCGATGTCTACGCCGCTCCGAACACCCATCCTTCTCCACCATTGCGACCTCCTATGCGTTTCAGCTGCCCACCAGCTGTTCCTCCAAATTATCACGGCCCACCCCCGGCACCACCACCACCACCACCTACTTTGGTACCCGTATCTCATCCGGATTTCCGATCCAGTCATCCCACTTCAAGACCAGGTCCTCCTATGCATAATGGTTACCGAGGTAATAGTATGCCGCCTGCTGGACATGGACCACCACATTTCCTTCCTCAAGGTCCACCACCTCCTTTTGCTCGAGGCCCCGGGCCGATGCGAGGTCCACCTCCACCGCCACCATCGCAAGGACCTCCACCTGGACATAGACCTGCTCCTTACATACGCGGAACGGGCCGCGGTCGAGGAACGCAGCCATGTAAATTCTTTCAATTAGGTCATTGTCGCAATGGGCCCGCTTGTACATTTTTGCATTCGAACCGATGATTAAACTTCCTGTCCATATATATTATGTACAAAGTTGTACAGTCCGCTTTGCATTTCCGGGAATTACTGTTTCTTAGTTCATCTCTTCTCTATCATTTGTCTTGAACACCTCCCTTCTGTTCAGGTCGATCATTAAAAAACGAAAAGGTATTCAGCAAACTCAACTGATCTTCTGTACAGAAAATTGAAATACACCAGTGACAAATTGTTCGTTAAAAAAAAGTTTTCTCATATATGGAATCGAAATTCACCCTCTGGGTTGATATAACGTAAAGGCCCGCCGTTACCGATGTAGCGTAATAATCTTTTTCTCATCTGCTCATCTTTCGGTTTGATGAACACCTAATAGGGTTAAAATTGACGAGTAAAAATTAACAGTGGTAACTCACCGTGTGAATTCCGATTTCTTGCATTTTTGCTAACAGCAAATCTAATAGTTTTCTGTCTATTCGACGATTGTCGTTTAACGCAAATGGTTGAAATGTTGAACTTACAAACCAAATTTTTCTCCACGCGGTCTTCTACGGCAAACATCGGAATTCGGCCAATATGCGGTTCCGTTTGGTGTCCAATGATTAGTCCAATGGGAATATGTGTATCAGTGAAACACTGAAAGAGAACCGAATGCGATTGTCGGAAACGTATAGAATTTACACAAGCACTTAAGTAATTTCTTTTCACTGCTCTTAACATCCAACATGTGGTTGCAGCTTGTCCGTCCCCTCCAGTAAACTAATTGAGCAAAATGGTCACCTCATTGGTAAAGTTTTTGTAATCACCTCCCCAACAATTCAGAGGATGGAGAAACATTCAACAACAGTCCGCTTGCTTTTAAACTGATCAAATGTGCTTGCTTTACATCTATATTTGCAAATTTGATTTCCCAAATAGCTCTCTCGGTACATTGAAACGATAAAATAGAGTGTAGGTCTGAATTTTTAACGCAAATGGAACGATGGCTGTTCACTTTGCAACCGTCAAGGTGATGTTTCCTAATGCATTGACACAATCAACAGATCAGTATCAATGTATTGTCAGACTTTTTGATTGGTATGTCGCAGAGATGTCTAAAGTCACCTACAGGGAATTCATACTCCTTTTTGGCACACTCCCGTGGTTCAACTTAGTTCAGAGGATATGATGATGATGCATGCAATGTTGCAAACAAGTGTGCTTTCTCATCTGCTTACATGACTATTGCGGTTCATCGCTTTCAAAACAGATAATCCATGATCAATTTTCAGCTGAATTCCAGTAATGTTCAAGATTTCAAGCAATTTGATTGTCGATGTGGTATCTATCTTCTCGTGTAAGAATTGCGCCCTCTTTATAGGAGACACCAAACGTTTTTTATACTTATTCAAATCCTGGATAATGTTAAGTTTTCTTAAGTTAAGTTGCCATTTTCATAGATCGCATTGCGACTATAGGTTCACAGGGTGTTGTGCGGTCTTACGAAGGTGATTCCAATTGTGACAGCCTTTTTTGTGCAGTTATTTTTCTTTTATTCCGTCCGAAGAATGCGATGATTCCGAGCGATCGATCTCATTGTCTTGCAGAGCAGCTTAACTTATTGATTATCTACTTAAAAGATGTCTTGTTCCACCGGGTTTACAAAACGCCTGAAAAAAGAAGGAAAATCAACTTCGTAAATAAGTACGATTGCGTTCATGCGTGTCAGTTTTTATCCAGGGTTGTTTGATGTGCTTTGTTTTACTGCATCCCATGGCCTGTCGGAAACTTAAACCGGCAATTACACATCCATCTTGTGAGTAGTTAGTTTTACATGAAGAAAGCTCTTCATACGAAGCTGATGCGGAGGAAATGCGCCCTGTCACCTGTCTTCTACCTAATCGCCAACTAACAAATCTCCCCGAATTCACACGATATACAGACAGTTAGCATTATTTTATTTTACACATTTGTGTGACGAACAACCCCTATGATCACGAATGCCTGCGGTCAGTGATGGAAACCGGCAGCTGCGGTCCTTGGGGTGGCAAACCATATAATACCCCACTAGGTTTGGCGTGGCATTGAACGGGACGACAGCAAAGTTGCCTACCACCAAAGGTCGGTGGAGTTGGGGGGGGGGAAGGGTTCGAACATCGGACCATAGGGTGCAAAGGATGCCGGTAACAACGACTAAAACAATGCACCACCGCGATGCATATATGCGGGGTTACGAGCTGTGAGAAACATTTATTGATAATTACGGCATGTGTTACTCGCTTTTTTCAGGTAGTCTTTTTCTATGCAGGTAACAGCTGAAAGGTCAAGATTGGTGATATCATGACCTGGCGTGGAGGTACGAGGTTCTTGTCCCCTGAACTACGTCATAGAAGACGTGTTAAGCTTGCCAACTAGAGGCGTCAGGCGATGTCTGGATTCAATTTAGTTGGTAACGTTCCAACCTTCAGTCATCGTTGCACGGATTATCACATCGGAAGCTCAAAAAAGTAAGCTGTGTACAGTTATAATTGAAAGGTTTTGACATTACAGCGAACTGCTGGCTTTCAGCAAGTGAATTGTTAACTCCAAATCCACTAACTGGTACACAGTCTGTTGGATACGCATAAACTTGATAGCCATTTGGGAGTTTAGTTCGTTTCGTGCTTTGCCTGATTTGATGGATGGTGTACGATTTCTTTTAGTTCGCGTTGTCTTCGTGTGCAGTACAGTTAACACGGATCACTGCAAATATGCTACTTTTTGTAAACCAAGTCAATGCTCACGTTCAAGTTGAGAAATGAAAGTGAAGTTTTCTATCTGATGTGCTTTATTGCCACGACCGAATGATGTGAATCTACAGTATGGTCGCACTGCTCTGAAATTAATGCTTTCTGTGAAGCAGTTACAGATGGTCTTCCCGTTGAGTTTCGCACAAAGTACTCTCTTGCTAACATAAGTGTGCAATTCATTTGATCGCGAAGTTCGCCGGTTAGTTGTGGTTAGGTAAACCTCTGAATTATTCCTAGAGAAATCACCAGTCTCCTTCAACATATTTCGTGAATTCGATAATTTCCTCTCTCTGAAAAAGCTTGAAACAGGACCTTCAGTTAGATATTACTTGGAATATCTCGGTTCATTTACAGACACCGGAGTTTGCTTGTTGATGTTTGAGTGTGGACCTCATTTATATTCGGTGGAATATATGAACTCGTCTGATTGAATTATTTCACCCATGGTGTTGTTCTTGGGTTGTGTTGCTCGCGGCTAGGGGGTTAGGCTCGCAACCCGAAGGTTAGCAGTTTGTGTTGCACACTGTTGATAAATCAGAGCGGTGAAATCGGTGTTGGCCGTCATAAAGGACCTTCACTCCTTATGATAACTTGCACTTTCATTCTGTGGTTTTACTCATGTGCAGAACCAATCCCATGTTTATTACTGAATCTTCATACCGACCACCTCTGTACCCGTTGACGTTATTCACTGCAATTAACGTGCTGGAAAGAAAATAGATTGATTTGTGAAGGAGAAAGGAAGATCGCGCTTTGGATCACGTGTTGTAGTGGCTACTATGGGGGTCCAGTGAGAAAATCGGACGGGGAACACAAGTGATCAGTAGTGTGATGTGATGCACAAATTACTGCATGGATGAACTTAATTTGTCAAATCTTTTATCGTGTTTTATCTTGCATCATTTTACTTCCTGCTATTGAGTATACGAAGATACTATTTTTCAAGAAGGTAGAGCGGCCAATCAAAGGGCTGCCATACCACACGCATTATGGGAAAAGACAGGCGGTGGCGGTGGGATTCGAACACACGTCCTCCGGGGTGATAGTTGGTGACGTCACCACCGTGTAGGAGCATATTGAAACCGGTTAATTACAATTTAGTCGATGATAGAATTTAGTAGATAACTTGAATGTGAGATAACTTCACTAAACAATCGAACTGGCTTCCGAGCATTATATGGTTTGGATATCTGTTGACAAAGTATTGAAAATCAGTGTTTGTAACTCGGGTGAACTGAATTCCACCTCCTCTGTTCACCGAGCTTGGAGATTTGTTTGCAAACGTTTCATCACCAGCCGAGGTGACATCGTCAGTGCTTGCGAAGTGGCAGTGTTCTGCTTGTACCCGTTCGTTTATGTATATTTGACTCGGTTCGCCGTTGAGCTAGTGCGAGAGGGTGAGGGCGGAAGGTGCGTTGTTCTTCCGTCCTGATTGTGGTTTTAGTCACGACGTGAACTTTTTGTTGCTTCATTTGATCCTTGAGCTTCATTAGCGTGTACACGTGATTCAGTTCGACATGTCTATTTATTGAGTTGATTGAAGAGTGCCAAGCCTCGATAAATTCTCCGCAACTTCGCATGCACCGACGATTTCACCTCGGTTGGTGATGAAACGTTTGCAAACAAATTGCCAAGCTCGGCGCACCGGCGAAATGGTCTAGATATCTGCTCAGTTTTTGGCTCCAGACCATGCAACAGACAAGTGAAATAGATTGGATATTTCTATGATTTGTGTTCCGTTGCTCACCGAATTTTATAAACAAATGCTGTAAAAGTTATCAACGGTTTCTTAATTGCTATGCTCAGTCAGTAAATAAACATCATGGTTCATAACGTTTCTCACACTTCGTGCATCGTTTTTTCCTGTTATAAATTATAACCAGTGCCAGACTAGTCCGCAAAATTCGGTTTCCATCGCTATTGGTGAGTCTGACAGGGCGGTACTACGGTTTGTCTGCTCCACTTTACGTCTCTCATTAGTTCGGGATTCCAGTTCTAAAGTGATATGTCGCCTACGGCTTATCACGATTCAGCAAACGATAGGGTTTTTGTTTAATGGCATTTATTTACTAAAATGGCCACTGAAAATGAATTTATTCGATTGTCATGTAGAGCTTGACATCCTGAATTTTTATCATGGATGCCATAATGCACAGAACTCGTCAGAGTATGTTGATCTGTTGAAAAAATCTTTTTGCACAATGACTTACAAAAATACACAATTCCGGCCAGTTCATGGCAAAATATCGTACAGTCACATCCGGATAACTGGTGCATAAATTTCGTGATACGAAACGTCGAATAATATCCAGATCGACTTCCGACTGATAACACCGATAGTATTTTTGCTGATCGTAATCATGACAGATAAGAGCACCAGCCTGAGTTTCAGTAAATCGGGTATGACGTTCCGTGTCCGGTGTGATTTTTGCCACTAGTTCAGGCATAACTAAGTTCGTCTCTACCCGAAAACAGTCACTGGCAGGGTTTGATCTGCTGTGATTGATTTTTTCCGGCCACTGCGTGTTTCAATTTATGCGTGTCACGTGAGTTTGGTTGAACAAATGAATGGTCACGTTCCATGTACTATGTCATGGTATGACGGTGTTAGGTGCAAGCTGTGACATTGACAATATTTATTTGAACAGTAAGCATTCGGGAAAGAAAACAAGGTTCCCGACACTTGGAAAACTTATAAGCCACCAATCACTAGATCATAACTAACTGCCATGTGGTTGGATGACAGTCGAGAGCTGCTGATTCTATGCTGAATCTGTCGTGAAAACGAAACATGAGCTGAAAATTCATATTATCAAATCAAATTCTTCGTTCTGTTTTAGTTAAAATCGATTATTTCTACCTCATCAGTCACTTCGTGTATTATGTTTTCCTATCCTCATGACACTATGTTAGGTTGGAGTTAACCAACCATCGACCTTCAAGTTCTGGTGACCCAAACGTCATGAACTGAATCAATCCTTTTGTGAACACCAAGTCCGCTTGATCACCTCGAGAATCAAGTAAGACAAACTACGCAAGGTACGGTAGTCACATGCTACAGCAACTGAATGTTTGTCTACGACATCCCTGCACCTACAGTTGTTAATCTATAAGGTGCTGTCTTCTTAGTATTGTCCAGATAAGCCTTGGTACCACTCACTGAAATTCAGGTCCCTACCCCAAAAATGTGGTAAGAAGTGCGTGGAAAACATTCAATACTTTATTGGCGTGAGATGAATAACCCCGATGTAGGTTATTGGTGGACTCGTAACGCTACGGAAAATTATTAGATTGTATTAAATCGCTGAAGTATAAGCATCGTGTGTTCACACTGCAATTCTTAGACGTGTAAAGCAAAATCACGATGGTTGTCATGTCATATTTCGGTTCTTGTTTCCTCGGAATATCTAACGCAGTCGTGTCCTATTTAAGTGAATGTTTATGGATTCTCTCGTGAAGTATTGTGGTGAGTCCACCCTCCCAGATGACTCCAGCCAAGCGCCTACTTGTTCCAGTTTCAGGATATTGGGCCATGAACCAGCAGTATCGATCATTCAACAGCCATACACTTTAAACAGAATCCGTTGGACTCGAAAGACGAGAATGGTGATTGATTGATATTTGATCAAAGATATTTTTACTTGCAGATTATTTAATCCCATTGATTTTTTTCGACAAGCAAACCGCTACTAATGTGGCCTTTTTCCTGCGTCTCGGTGATGGGAGATTCCAGCGTACAATTGCTAGTGCAATTCTGTTTCAGCTGCGTCCTTGATTCGTAATCCGTACATACTTCGACTACTACGTTTATCTCCCGATATTTCTGCAACAGAAGTGGTGATTGGTTGCCAAACCTTGCCAGAAAAATTCTCAATCTCCGTTGTTACTTTTGAGGAAGGAACCAAGCGTTCCGAGATTATCCGATTGCAGCACACATTCTCATTTGTCTGGTATTCTTGGTCAGGTCGTATTCACTGTGATAGGTTCAAGTGGCGCGTTTCCTATTCGCCATTTGGCCTTAAAATAGGGCGTCTCCCTGAATGGCACTAACATGCAGTAGCTGGTTATCACAGTTTTGCATTGAGCTCCAGTAGGAATTTCGTCAGATACCTCAGACACGGCAAATCCTGTTCGCGCACCATGGTGACCAAATTGTTTTTGCTCACACTAGGCAATGGAATCTATTCTAACATCTGCTATGAAAATCTTAGAAGAAAGTTACTCTAATGTGAGTTCATCTTAATTCCATCGTTTTGGCTTTGATCTCTTTTTTAGTTGGAATTCGAAACTAATAGTGTCAGCAGCATCCGTTCCTTGAAACCGGTAGTGGTTTGGTCTTATCTTGTATTTTTTTAATCTCCGTCGTTCCAAATGAAAAACTTATCCAACGGAATAAATGGAGGTGGAGTAGTTCGGATTTCCTAATCATTGTGCAGTGAATCACACAAGTCTAGTTGTTTGCAGCTAGGGTGGCTTGAGTCCTTCAATCAACACAATAAACCAATAGTGTTTCTCTAATGATTGTAGAAGTAGTAGTAGTGTTACGCACGGAATTCGGAACACGAACCACGCAATAGGAATCACAGAACACGAATCAAGGATGAGCTGTCACGGACTGGACTACGGAAGCACTGAACCGCAATGGCACGAGCTCGCAATATCCCACGTGAACGAGACGCGAGGAAAATGCCGCAGGAATAGTAGTACGTAGTTAGTTTATTGGAAGAAATGAAGGCGATTAAATAATATGTACAAAAGAAGATTATTGGTTATCTAGGCTTCCACCAATCGGATTGCAATACTGTTTGCATAATTCTGCTTCTGTCCGCTTTGTCTCGGATTGGCGGACATGATCTGCCTATGGCGTGTAGTCAGAAGCCGCACGCGTGTCATTGACGTCATCTTTCAAATTTGATTGATCGCACACGTCCAGAAACTGTAACGCGCCGCTCCAGGGTAGGCGTCATCACTTAGGCCTGGATCACCGCAATTTCACAGAACGAGGTATAAGAGTTATCATGTGTTCTATGAGTACATCAATGGGGGTGCTCCGCTGTAAAGTGCTTGGGGATTTGGATCCAGTGCACAGATCCAAATGTATCCCAGACCGACAATTGAATGTGTGATGATATGCCGAAGTCAGCGAATCAATGTATTTCGTTTTGAATGTGACTGACTTTAATGGGTTTGCACTGTATTATATTCAGATAACTATTCGACGTTTACATACACTCCGGCAGTTGAAGTAATTTTCGTCCCCCCACCCCGAAAAACGAAAGGTGGCTGTGGTCACAAAGTGCATCATACTATATTCACTGTGTCCGGAAAATGCATTGAGGAGCATTGTGATTCGGCCGACAGAAATGCGAACAATGGTGGTTGTCTGTGGAATTGCGGAGGACATTGTGATTTGGAATTAGAAACAATGAAATGATTGAATTGGTGCACATTGCTTGGTTGCTTGCTGGTAACGTCACCAAACTATCACTGCGTAAGAGGTGTGTTCGAATCCTACTAACACCGGCCGACTTTCTTCATGGCAGTCCTTTGATTGGCCCCTTCCCCTTGCTGAAAATGGTATTGGTGTATATCCAATAAAAGGAATGAAAAATGAAAAATAAAAAAGTAAAATAAATCTGGGATGGAGCAGTGAACGCAGTTAGTGATGTTTATGCACGCGAATATGATCCCGGAAACAACAATAATCTCTGCCTAGAATTTATTAGTGTTACTTTGCGTTTTGTGCTATAGAGCGAGCTATTTGGCGTGGCTCTGATTTGCCCTAAACTCATCAAGAAAGAATTCATGTACCTGAGAAAAACAAGACTGCAGATTAAATTTTACGGGAAATAATGTTTTGTTTTGAGGTGGGGAAGGCTTGTAGGTAAATTTTTTTGAAGCTAACCATTATAATATTCATGTTATTCCGGGTTACGTACATACCTCTGAATAGACGGCTGGTAAAGTTTACAGAGGCCATAGCAATCAAGGGCCCTTACTATATCAACAGAAGGATTTGTACATCTGTCTGGCATTGCCCGGGTGACCATGTTAGCCGAAGATAGAATTGATACAGTGTTAGATGATCATCACTTGTGATGACTTTCTGCACTAAGTATCAGCCGAACTGCATTGAATGGATATGGTTGTGCGTCTTGATTAATTAATATCATTCTTTTCTTCCAATTGTTCTCAAAGTTGTGTGCATGAGCCACAAAAGTGCCTAGCGTACATGTTTCGTCCTTGTTGTGATTCATCAGTAGAGTGCAGTCTCCACCGGTACTTGCATCATGATTGAATTAAAATGAAATATATTAAATCTTTGGCGAATAAACGAGCTCTCAAGGAGTAAAGCGCATGAGGAACGTTTGTGACATTGAATGCAAAATGAGACTTCGTCTAAACTTTTACTGTTTCATTGATTAAATAATATCGTAACTAATACAGCAGCTATTCAAAGGGATGATTCCCAATGGTGGGGTGTTGGTGGCCACCACTTCTGTTCAGATTAGTAAAACACATGTAAAGTAGTGCAACTCTTATTTTCTGGTCAAGTTGGCAAATGCTTCAGAATAGAAATGAAGTCAATGATAATAAAACTATTATTCTTCAAATCAGTGCGGTTACAGGGATAAATCCAACCTGAAAACCTCGCTGAATTTGATTGCATCCGGGTTTTAAGGCTGTCTTAGGCGTTGGAATGATATTAATTAAGGGTATTACCGTTGATACAACTAGATAGTTCGGTTTCAGCTTGTCGCGGATCAAGAATCGCAAATGTAAACGAAATCGTATCAATCGACCGCGGCTTCTGGATACCGAGAGGTAAGAATAAAATCACAGAAGTGGCGGTTTGTTTATTAAGATAAATCAAGACCGTTGAATGATACGTACAAAAGGATATCACTGTCTTGATCAATGCTGACCAAGCGCTCTCAGTTCGTGTTCTTCTTAACCCATAAACCAGTCCAAAACACTGGTTTCTCATTCGTTGTACCGAAACATCATCGTATTGCTTCCCAGCTATGTTGGATCACCGCAACCTCGTTGCTGGAAGACGCTGTCTGGTTCTGATCAAACTGATAAAATTCCTTTTGTTAACTTTGTTGGTAAACGACCACTCCTATTTAATTAGCTCTAATCCAAACTCGTCCCATCAGTCCAAGCTGGTGTTTCTAGCATTATGGCCGATGGTAAACCAACAAATAAGACTGGAAAAGTACAAAATGACAGTAAATATAGGCAATCTGATCAGATGGGGTAGTCAAAGTAAAACAAACTTTTCGATTTATTGTCCATAAACATGCCGAGATGTTGTGAGATAAGGAAGTTTGAAATATATACAGCTGTTTCGCGGGTAAAACTTTGTTTCGGTTAGATGAGCTCTAAACGACATTTGATGAACCAATGAAAGATAGATCATCTTCACATGTGCTATTGTGTCCTT